CGGATAAGTTCTTCCACCACTTTTCCGCTTCTGCCAACTTGCTATCCAAATTGGCGCATTGGATTTGATTCGAACGGCTGAGTCGTTCGATTTGCGCTTCATGAATGCAACGTTGTTCATCCAATGTTCGCATTAACTCATCATTACATTCCACTAACTAAAATAAACTACAACATTGTTAACTGTATTCGATTTTTCTTATCATCAGTTTATCATTGAAGGCTGTAAAAACGCTGCTCGACAACTCTCTTCCAAGAATGATTAAACTTAACAACCAATAACAAATAGAAGCACAAGAAGTGCTAGGCTTGTTTTGTCAGGTGTGTGGCATCTCCAAGCCTCTTTTTATTATAAGAAAGATGAATAATTTCAATCCACTATGATAACATCAGGTGTAAGAGCATATGCTATCTTCCTAATGGTAAGGTCAAGATTCGAAATGTCGCATAGGTGATGAAATTTATCGATGAGTTTTTTCACAAAATATATTAAAATATAAATAGAAATAAACAAGTAATAAATAGACAAATATATTTTATTCGATTTAATAAAAAACAAGTAAATATATTTTATTGAAGTTATCAACTTTTCTTAGACCTATGAGACAAAAAATTGAATCTTTCAGGTTTTTTAGAAAATTAACGCAATATATTTAGATCAATTACTCAATACAAACAGTTACTTTTGAAAGTTTGCATCATAAAGTACAAAGTAAAAAAGATGAAGTACCTAATCATCAATTAAACAAAGGGATTAGTAGACGGAAACAAAACAAATAAATTAACGAAAATGATCAATTAAGTAATAAATAAGTAATATATATTGCAAACTCTAGTTGTATAAGTGAAAAAAAAAGTTAAATTGAGCAAAAAAATTGAAAATCACAAAAGTGGAATTACGATGAAGCAATAAATTTTTTCTTTTTCCCAAAACAAAAATAAACATTTTTGGTGGCAATAGGAATAATTGATGTTAATATATGGTAAGAATCCGAGAATTATGATCATAATTTTAAAAAGATAACTGTTATGAAATCAAAACTCAGTTTTTTTTTTTTTTAGAATCAGTAAAAACTCAGTTTTAAATTAGTCAAACGAACGTAAAGCATTAGTTGTGGTGAAGAAATGATAAACAAATTGCAACTTCTGCAAAATCTTTAATAGCATTGGTTAATTACATAATTTCTTCTGAGATTTTCTTCTCCGTGAGAATAAAAGTTTTACAGTGAATAAAAACCAATTTTTTAATATTTTTCTTGAACAATAACATATTTGCCTAGAATTAGGCCAATCATACATAGAAATCATGGCCTCGATAGAACACGAATGATCGTATCTTGCGAGATGTTTGGGTCACTTTTCGAAATTACTGCCATAAACGGAGCAAAGAATGGAGACTGTGACGTTTGATCATTTCAAACAGATAAAACATTATTCAATTTACTAACTCATATTTGAAAACTTCCCGGCTCTCTCCCCCGCTCTCCCGCTTTCTCTTGCTTTAAATGACCTAATTTCAAGTTACTACTATCTACAGTTACTCATGATTATTTTAATAATTCTTGTAGAAACAATCAATAAACTCCGTTTTGGGTATGAAGAGAAAAAGAATCACAAGTGTGTATATTAGATATCAAAAGTTTGTACATGTAATCCTGCTAGAAGAGAACAACGTCTAATTTAAGAAAATATTTTGAAAATTTTGACTTCAATTTTTATCTAAAGTCATTGTAGCTGGTCACCACTGCAAAAGGAAAAAAGCCAGAATCAAGAAGACTATTGCATACCTGTTTTTCGTATCGCTCCTTCACCGAATTTAACTCATCTTCATGATTTCGATTCACTGCAAATAAAACAACCAGAAATATGAAAACGATAAAAATGGGAAAAAGAACAGTTGAGGATTGCAACAGAGAGAGTGATACTGCAGATGATGCTGCAGTTGTACTGCATGCCAGCAGAATTATGTAAATTGTTGTAGATGAAAATAATGATATTAAAATAAATGGTAAGACAACAAGGCCAGGAGTTTTTAGACGTATCACGTTTGGTATCACGCAGAATATTGGCATCTTTCAGTAGAATAGTGATAGAATGAGGAAAGAAATAAGGATGGGATCAGTAAAAGATAAGTGATTCTTTTGTTGGGCTTATTTGTGAATATGAATGAGAGAGGGACAAGCCTTAGGCTCAATGAAGGAAGAAATTTTCTTCAGATGGTCGAAGTTTAGTCTGAATAAAGGTGTCACACAAAGCGCAATAACATTCGCAGAAAGCAGAAACTGTTAATGAACAAAATGATAAAACCCCCAAAAAGGATCCCTATCCTTTGTCCTTTTCTTCCTCCTCTCTCTTTTAACCTTTCTCCCTCACTCTTCCCCTCTCTCTCACCATTCATTGCAAAGAAAATGAAATAGTGTTTGGAAGGTATGAAAAGAACATGAGGGCAGAGAAGATGAGAATGGAGAAGACGAGAATGCAAAACGTCTAAAAATAACCGGGAACTTTACTCTCCATTTGTAAATTCATGACAAGAGGTCAAAGGACAATGATAGCATGGTTGAAATAGAATAAGGTCAGATTATTGCTAGTCATGGAGAACATAGTCAAAAAAAAGAAACAAAAAACAGGAATTCGAAGACAAATGGAAGTCTATAGAGTTACCAGATAAAAATAAGTCGGTCAAAGACTTTAAAACTTGGGTTCCATCCGATAAATCTCTGAAATTTGGATAACCTCTACAGGCCACCAAACTCATAACGGTCCCTTTTATGTTATGCAAGAGACGCAGGACATGCTATTGCTGTTAACAATAAATGCTAATGAACTGAATTTATGAGCCAAAGAAGGTCATCTTGACGCTTTCAAGCTCTCCCTCTTCAGAATATCTCAAATTTACATAATCCATACTTTGTCATCTTGACAAATAAATCATTTGAAGGTTATCAAGTCCTAGTAATATCGAATGAAAAATTTATTCTCTTCCAACATTATTCATCTGGTTACTATTTCATTCAGTAAATGAATGATTTCACAGGTGAATTTCATTCAAACACGAGAATCCCAAATATTTCCAGAAAAGTTTGGTATATATAAACAGTAACTCTGAGGACATACAACAAACAGTTCATTTCTAGTTAATGCTTTTTCAAATTCAAACTGATAGAAAATACCATCTTACCTCATGATCGATTCAACAGCTAAAACAGATTTTTATGATCGTTCAACAGCCGAACAAAACTGTCAGGCAAAAAACTTTTCAATCACAACTCCCTGGTCAGTAGATGGTGCTTTTGAGGGTACATTCAGTGGAAAAATGGAAATCCCGATCGGCGATCTCTTAGAAAAGTCATTTACGGTTCTTTCTGTTCTCTTATTGTTGCATATTTGTAAAACTGGTCTTCTCATTTCCAATTTAACTAGCCATTTCGTTACTAAACTTTTTATTGTATATAAAAAAATGCACGAAGAAAATTGGTGACGCAACATTAAATGTCACCGACATAGCGATATTGGATAGATTTATGCAATTGATAAAGAAGGAGCAAGTATTTGGATGATTTGTTTGCTTTTTATTCCAAAAAAATAAATTTTCCTTCAAACAAAATTGCAGCATTTATTCTAGAATTAAAAAAAGAGCCCAGTAATTTCTGAAGGAAGTTGAAGTGACTAAATTTAATACATGACTGTAATAAGCAGCAACAGCGATAATCAATCTCGTTAGGGAGATACAGGTAACTTTATATTTTTTTCAAAGCCCCCAAATCTACACTGCAAATGATGGGTGCCAAATGTCTAGAAAAAGAAGAGTCATTAACAAGTCATTTACTCTGGCTTCGTAGACTAGATCACATATTTATTCTAGTCTTCCATGGTGTCGTCATATTTGAAGGCATTCCTTGAGCTTTACCAAAGAATCAGTGAGCTAATTCATTTATCAAACTAGGAATTTTCACCTTTTCCATTAAGTTTAAATCCTCCGTTCTCGTAAATTCTTCTATTTTTGCAACCAAAAAAATCAGCAAAAAAAGGAAAGTTTTAATGGAAAATCCAATGTTTAAGTGAGATTCGAAAGATAATTATATCCTTAACTTTGGATATTTTTTTTCTCACAGTTCGAAAATAACTTACTTTCAAGGTCTTCAAAAGATTGAAGTGAAAGGTCAGACAGCAAATGAATGAAAAGATACAGATTACAACAAGTGTTACATACATCACTTATCACCTACAAGAACGATTTAAACGAATTTTTTAACAATCATTTAAAACAGGATATCGAAGATGAAAACATCGGATACACTTCAAAAGATTCAAATTATAAATGAATAAATTTACAATCGCCTAAAAAAATGCTTTTATTTCTTTATACTATTTGTTATCTTGTTTTCCTTTTATAATATTTTGCAGTACTTTTTTGAGCATTCAAAAAAACATTTAGGGCTAAGTAAACAGTGCCAAGTTGTACGGAAATCATTGAAGACATAGAAACGATCCCGAAGCAATATAATAACTGATTTCGAGGATCATCTCTATAATACTAAGTTAATGTAGCTGCGAAAGATCTGATGAATTCATCATCAGGGGTAGCAATATCTGAGATTCATTTTGTTAAAAGAATCAGTCAATCAGTCAGTAGTATTAATACTTCATTATCAGTAACTTTGTAACAGAGACAGGTAAAGGCAGAATAATGGATAGGTCCCGAACTGTCATCCCTTTTCAAATTATACATTTACCATTGACAAATTATAGTAAATGTGAACGATCTCTATTGAAACATGAAAAATTAACATACCATTTTCAATTTGTCGGGCATGATCGGCGTTCACCGCTACCAGTAATTCCTCATACTTGGCTTCCAATGCTTTCACATGAGATTCTGAAGGAAGTAAAAATTACTCCCTGATTGGTTTAACTTTGGATAGTAACTAAATTAGTAGCCAAGTTCGAGCTAATCTTTTAATGCATTCATTACTGAAATAGGCAAAATGACCCATTCGAATATTTACCTAAAGTCGACAACCTCATATGAAAGTACAAAAAACACTCATTGAAACTTCTAGTAATTGTATGATTTTTGATAATTTCAACCGAACCGTACTCCAAAAACAATGCAAAGTTCAGCTTAAATTGTAACATATTTAACTTGTTACACCAAATTCCATTTCAATTTCATGAAACAAGGAAAAAAAGTTTTCGTTTTATTGTCGAACTTTCAATCAAAATTCCTTGTTCATTCAGTTCTAAACTAGCCATTCAATTTCAGAGAATTCTGAATTCGCCCAATGACAAATCGTATAATTAATGGGCGTAATGAAAACATATGACGTTGGAATAATTTATTCAAAAACTAAATTTAAAGTACTTGATAAAATTCACGATTCTACATCGAGTATTTTCTGCATTGTATTAAAAATTGACAGCTTAAAAGTTTTCTCTTCCTACGAAATTTTTGCCGGAACAGTAGGATCAATATGGAAGAAACCAAGGAAAAATCTATTTTAATTTTTTTTTCTCCGCGTTTGAAAAAATCCCTAAAATTAGTTTGAAGCTAAAACCATACCGTATTTTCTATTTTGTTCAAGCGCTGTGTATAATTCGCCACTGTACTAAAAAATTATGGATTAATCATTGATCGTGATAAAAGAGAATAAAAGGTTTGTTTCGAATCTTTTTCCTTATGATTTCAAAGTTTAAGAAATTTTCAGCTTTCAGTGGCTTTTGATTTCAAAAAAAAGGTAAAATGAATTCCAATTTGGATGATTTTTTTCTTGGGATCCTTAAACTAGTGAGACAATTTTAAGATCAGCTCAAGTTGCGGCCCAAGATTACAAGGCCAAAATTACAGTAGCTCGTCAACTTCTAAACATATAGTTCTTGAAAAACTACTTCCAGTTAATTAGTGCAGCAAACAAACAAGAAGTAAAGTAAGGTAATACCTTTTGGATTTGCTGGCTGAAGACAATAGCAAGAACGTCAAATCCACGAACAGCATCTGTTAATCTCTTTAATTTTAAAGTATCATCTGAAAATAAAGCTTTTGAAATCCATAATAAATTATGCCTGGAACTTTGAGTTCTCAATAAATTTAAAATATGGACCTTGCGGCTCTCCAAAACAAAGATTATGTAGGAGCTGAAAACCACTCATCTGTTTCAGGATTTTTCAAAGAAAGCAAAAATCTGTCGACACAAATATAATTTGGCTGAAGGCCAGTACAGTTGTCAGTTTGACTTGAAAATTTGAGAAGTGTGGTGAAATTTGATCTAACCAATTTTATAAGTTTCTCTCATATAGGACCAATCTAGACACATTTCCCTCCCCGCAGAATACAGAATCATAATCGATCCTCTGGAAAGCGGATTAAATACTGAACAACGCATCTAATAAACAATAATCTTAACTCTTTGGAACTAAATATCGACTTATATTTGGTTCAACTTTGTCACTATAAATTTCTTTTTCACTTTTTCACTTAAGTCTTCAAAAGGAAGAGATTCGAGGCTATCAAATCTTATAGAGTATGGAATTTCCAATATGTGTATTAATCGGCATCATAAGTTTACATTTTCTGTCAACGTCGACTACGATAATATTGGGCCATTACCTTTAAATTACAGTAGCGAAGATAAATTTCAAATGTTACAACAGTAACAGACTACAACAATTTCCATTTTTGTAGAAAAAAGCATAAGGTGAATGCATTGACGACACCAAAAGGAAAAAAAAATGTAATATGTAAAGTGTTAATAGCCTGGAGTGCTGGCTGAAGTGAGTCATTAATTAATTTAGGACAGGAATTATGGCTGCAGTTGCATTTATGCCCCAAAAAGATCGCTATTTTCCAAAAAAAAACAATGCCAAACTTTCATCTCATATCATGTTTTGCAATTCTACCACAAAGCGAATTCCCTTTCATAATTGCTAAATACCAAACTGATTCGTTATTCTGCGGATATTTTCATGTAAATGTAATTAAATGAAACAAAAAAGTCATTTACGACACGACAGTGGAAAAACTAATAAGTTGACAGATACTAACTAACCTCGGTGTGTTTCGATGGTCATTGAGGTAGGTTGTTTATCGTATTTACGAACTTTAAGTGATGAATGTACTGTAGATGAAGTGGGCAAACTGGAATGCTGCGCTGCAAAAATTGCTTCAGTTAAATATAATTCGGAACTCCCTATATCAAATATTAATTAAGGGAGAATAAAAGAAGACGCTGAAGATTTGTTTCGCGTGCCTAACTTCACAGGATGATAAAAAGGTGAAATTGGAAAGGTTTTAATTTCAAAACATAGAACGATTCACTTGTGATGACATGCTGTAACACAACTGCACACTCCAGAATAAATAAAATTTATAAGATGAAAATTTCGGACCACTAAGCTAACCGATAACTGATGTTGTTGCAATTGCGCATTACAGTGATGGCCACATCTGATAGAGAACAATAAGGCACCTGGGGACCATTGTTAAGACAGTTTATGATCTTTCAAAGATTCAAAGATGATAAAGGATAGTTGAGATAGTCTAAGTACATCTACGATCAAATTGGGACAAATTCAGGTAATTTAACCGAAACTAAGAGGTGAGAACATTTAGGTTACAACAATAAAATTTGCAGAGGTCGTAAAAATGCAGTTATCAAGAAAAGAAATCCCTGCAGAGTATTACCAAAATTTCTTCCAGTTTCAGATTTGTACAACATGAAAGTTGCCAATCTACTGATAATAATTAAGTGAAATCGATTCTTGTTCGTGCAACATAAAGTAGCAAATAACCCTAAATTTTACCGAATCAACACTGAGGGAGTAAGGAAGACGGAAAAACGGCCCTTATATTTGAAATATCTTAAATCTGAAAGCAAAGTGAAAAAAAATTTGCAATTATCGCAAATTTTCCACAAAATATTCAATTGATCAAATTTGTTGCATCCAATCGTACACCAATGACTTCACAGGTTATTCAACGAGGAATAAGGTCCATTCCCCACTTATTTCATTCCCAATTTCCTCTGATTTTCCTGTATGGGATAATCGAATAATCGGCATAAGCCAAGTGCAAAAATATGATACGTTGTATTCAAACTCAACTTTCAGAAGAAAATTAATACTTACATCCTGATCTGGTAATGTTTGATGGTTGAAGTATTGATTTAGGATTTGAGGCCCCGGGAAGCTCCTTAGAAGCTTCTTTTTTCAACCTTTCGGATCTCATTGCAAGTGGGCCTAAAACATGATGGCTATTCATCATTTGAAACACATTTCTTTTCGAAGTTCGATTCAAAAAACTTGGATAGTTTCAAAAATTTTATGTAAGAATGCCATGCCGAGAGAGTGTTGAGGTACACCGATGACTGTCACCTCCATAACAGTAGTAGGAAGAGGACGGATAATTAAATTGGAAATTAGGCAATAATGCGACAAGCCGCAAATGAAGGCATCACGCCAAAGTCATATTTTAACGGAGGGATAGACCAAATTTCAAAAATTACATAACTTTTAGAAACACAACTTCTAGAAAGGTACCAAAAAGAATATCTGATTTAAGTCAGGAAAAGCAAACAAATTACTTATAGCTGAGATTCTAAAGTACATGTTAGGAGGGAGAGCTCATTCCCGGCCTCCTTAGGATTTTAGCAATTTTGTTTGAACAGTATCTCGCAAAGCGTCTGATTATTTTCACTTCAAGGTTAAGTATACAATCAAGTTTGTTAACTTTTAGTGTAGGATCATGTTTAGCGGTGACATCAAAATTCAAGCTTTGATCTATCCCTCTTCTAAGCAAATCACGTGTTATGAATACCAGAACAGGAAGTGAACAATAACTTATAAGAAGTAAAAGTTGGACCTAATTCTTTTGAAGAAAAATCTTAGCATAACTAGATAGAATTAAAGCGTTCATCTTTGAACCTACGATCTCAAAATGTCCCAATAACACTGAAATTGAAACCTTAAAAATTAATATACATGCTCAAAAATCTGGAAACTTAAATCCATGGCAATACCTGACAGGTAGAACCTCAAAATAAACCTCTGAATGGGCTTGTTCACATAGTTACAAAGTACTACCAGCAAAATAAGCACAACCTTTCTGGACAGTTTTCGGCTGAATCAGTAACTGCCTTGACTTCGTAGGTGGTCGTGATGTTGTCGCTGTTGTGATATCAGGCTGCTGTAATGACCGAGGTTGCCCAGACCGTACTTTTGAATTTACCCTTTTCAGCGCCTCATTTCGCCGACGCTTCGCATTCGGAGAGGACTGTTGAACTATCTTTTTGCTTTCTTCATTAGGAGACATTTTTTCTACAAAAAAAAATAAACAAATAAATAAATAACAAAAAATAAAAAAACAAAAATAAAATACGCAAAACAAATTCCAAATCACAAATTCAGTCTTTGAGGAAACGCAAAAAGTCATACGTGAACTATAAATCATCCTAGACCTTTAACATGAATAAACAGAATGAAATAAGGCTCTTCATATAAATCACTTCTTGATAGTGATAAAAACAGTTAATTAACGAAATTTGGGAATAAAATGATTTGTAAAAAGTGTCCGTACCCAAATTACTTTCATACGAAAAGACAATTTCATTTCAGAATAAGTTTTGTTTTCAAAATTGCAGTACACAAATACTTTATTGGTATTCGACATTATCAGATAGTGTTATTAATTGAAATGTTTAGATGGACATCTGAAACAGGTGAATTACATTAGAAATAGAAAAATCCACTTTAGACTGGTCCAATCATCTGGAAAAAAAAAAGGAAAGAGCTAAAATTTTATAAATTGTAAAAGAATAGAGAGAAAGAGGAATAAAAAGATATGATTATCGATATGGAAAGTCCTCTAAGAATGAAATGAAAATAAATGCGCAACAAATTAATGGAGAATTTCTGTTAGCTTTCTAAATTCAATGGTTCATAGTTAGTGAGAAATGGAGAATAGGAGAAATGGTTGGTATGAAGAAGTTCAAGAAAATAAACTTCCGTGGAATTTACTGTCATCCGTAACGTAACCTACGCAGCTATAGAAGGCTAATAACTGAGCAAAGTCTGGGAACAATGACGAGACTGGAAGAAAAAGTTCATCTAGATAGTGTTAGCTTGAAGGAATAATACTGTAAGATAGTAAGTGATTAATCAAATGCAGGAAGAATAAGTGGCGGAACTTAGCAATTATTCACTCTTCATTTACAATCATTTATACTAATTTCAATTATTTCTTTGTTGAAATTGTCATCTTAACGACGTAACTAATCGATGAATATGACGGAATAATTTGCAACAAATGCGTGCAACATGAACGCTTCAAGTGTCGAATGACTGAAATAGAAAGCTATATGAAGAAACCTGAGAATTTGAATCTTATCAACACTTATACCAATCGATGTTTTCCTTATGGCATATTTATTTGAGGATAAAATGCGCTACTATAGTAGATTATGCTAGCTGATCTACTGATATGAATTTGATTCTTCGATCTATTGAAAGCCATGAATTAATTGGTAATCTACATCCAAATATAGCACATCATATAAGATTAATGTAAGTAAAGTTGAAAGTTGCATCACATCGTTGCAAATAAACAAATAACTAAAAATTCCTAGAATTCAATTCATGCTAACTTCTGCTAATTGTTAATTCCATGCCGAATTTGTATTTCCATTGAAATATCCGATAAATTTCAGTGAATCATTTCAGTTAAGTCAACACTGGAAAGGTTAAAATTACGCAAGACCTGGTAACGTGATCAAAAAGGGACTGAAATTTAGTCTTGTGAAGTTGAGTGCTCAAAAAAAGAAGAAACGATAATCACTATCACAAACAGTGGTTGGAAGAAAATATTTTGGGGTCCAAATCAAAAATTGAGCTCAGTCTTGGCCATCGCCTCGAATACTTCGTCAATCTTCCAGCAATACTAAATGCGCTTTATCGCAAAGATTCACAAAGCGCCTATAGGAAAATCCACCTTAGATATCAACAAAATAATATAATAGCTTCTCACAATTCGCTTTCAATCTTTAAATAAAAGAGCATTTTTTTAAAAGGTTTGTTGAACTTCTAAAGAGTTACACTTTTTTGATAAAAGAAATGTGTATAAAAAGCAGGAAAGAATTCAAAGAAATGAATTTTTTTGCAGTAAATCCCAACTTGCATTTCTAAAATACAAACTTTTTATCATTTCTGAAACTCATAACTTCTTTATTATATTTTATGGATTTGTTTGTCCATTTCAGAAATGGACATCATTTAAGGGAAGTTCAAATAGGGCAACTGGAACCTATGCAGTATCAACAACAATGTTTACATCATTGACAAACATATCTCCGCCAACAAACAACAATGGACCATTTTCACGAAAGCTGATTTCACTTCACACTTACTATCCATCTATTTCTTCCTTCTTTTCAAACCACTCTCAGCAAATTCTTTCTTTTACCTTATCTTTCTGAAATCGGGAATACGCGGGATAATCTTTTCAACACATTTTTATCATATTATACCAGTAATTAACAAAAGATAATGCTATCAGCGTAATGAATGAAAGCATAAACCAGGAAGGGCAATAATATTCAAAAAGATAATAAGAAAAGGTTAGAGTTTAGAAAACTGGAAGCACTGAATGAGACTGAACTTTGTGACTAAAGATATGCTTGGGAGAGTTATTAATTAGAAAGTTAGTTCGAATCTGACGGAGGAGAAAAAGTCTAACAGAGGCAGTTGGATGAGTGTATCAGTTATCAGTGAGAAAAGTGGAAAAGACTGGAAGAAAGTGTTATTTATCTTCTGATTTGTTACATAAATCATACATTAAATAGGAAAAATGAGAGGAAACAATGATGGGAATGAAACTTTAAGAAATAAATGAATAAAAAAAGCAATTGTGTCTGTCACCAACTGTCTCCCTGCACATATTTGCATATATATCGACATTTGCATATCGCCAATTTATGGAATGAATTTGGTTAGCAAAAATAATCATTACAGCCTTGCCGACTTGTTGTTTGTTTATGTACATTTTGTTCATGTACAACAAATCAATAAATGAATGATTGAATATAAAACAAAATTCGAATTATTCCAACAAATTCATCCCCAAAGTTTCAAAGTTTTATCTTCAGATTAAAATTAGAATAGTCTCAAATTCATCGAATGTTTGTCTAGCAACTGAACCATCGAGTGAGAGTGACGGTGAACAAGTAAGAGCAGAATGAAAAACAAGAAATTCTGAAAGAGGCAATAACATCACCAACAACGGCAGTTGTAGTAATTGTTAGAGTAGCCAAGAGCCAACGAAGTTCAAACGAGCTTGCGATTTCGGGAGAGGGGGAATCAATGAAAACAACACAACAAGCGGTTTGCACATGTGCTAATTATTAACACATTCTCATTTGTGACATTTGTGTCCTTGGGTTTAAAGTTCTTTAGTCTCTTGGCTCAGGAAAACAACTACGATTCACTGGCGGCTAAAGAGATTAGCAGAATCGATTAGGATAAATCATACTTGTGATACACTGGAATACATTTCTTTTAATTGAAAATCGTACATTGGCAGTAAGTGAATGAATTTAGGATAAGCATATTTTACTGGATTAAATGATACTTATAATTATTTCTATTCCCCCAGTCGATAATGAGGTCTGAATTCATGAAATTTAGACTTGTGATCCGTTCCACTTGTTATCCGAAAAGACGATTTCTTCGATGAATCGAAGTAAAAAGGATAAGAAGGTCATCTGATAACTAATTTTTTTATAAGAACCTAAAAATCTGCAAGAGTAACGATCAATAATACCAGGAAAAAATCTATAACACCAGGAAAAACTCAAAAAGGAAGAACTCTTTGCAATGTTCTGCGACAGATCAGAGATGGACTATTATGTACAACTGTGGAAGATTTACAATTCCGGTGATTTCTCAATCGATTTTTAAAATAAATCTATAAAAATGAAATCGATTTTAGCCCGCTTTTTCTGTAGATCTTCACATTTTCAATATGTGAAATGCGCAAATGCAATGGATGGCGCTTTGTACAAAAAGTGCTTTTTGAATTTCGTGATTTTATAGAATTAAATAGAAAAAATGTTTTGAAGACTGCAGAAGTTAAGCGTGAAAAAAAGCTATTCTGTTCATTAACAGAAAAGGAAAAAGAAGTAAAGTGCGAAAGAGGCATTTGACCTCTGACCCGGGTTAACAATAATGCACAAATGTCCTCTAACTTATTTGCCGTTACTATTACTGGTAATGTGAGCAGAGTTGCGTACTGCTACTGCAACCACCACTACCGCTAATATTTTGAATGTGCATTTGCACAAATTGCAATTATAAACAAAGACAAGTTTAGATATAAACTCATCTAAGGTTCAGTAGCACACAGGATAGCATGGTCAAAAGCAGGATGTAAATCTTCCTGATTTCAAAATCCTAACATCAGAATTTCATCTTGACCAATCGGCAAAACCTCGTAATTATAGTTTTTGAGTTGAAAAGAAGAAAAGTATAGCCCGACGTGCTCACGTGATAAAAGTCTTCAGCGCTTTAATTTTTGGAGGTTAAAATCCCATGTAGTTGTTAAGTTTTTATTTTAAAAAACCAACCTTCATTCTCATCAATGGTCGTCTGCGGTTGCACATGTCGAACGGGTGCTGGTACCGTCAACAGATCACGAAGTTTTGATTTGACATCTCTTTTCGGTTTTAGTTTATCTGCTTCAATGCTTGCCTTTAGCTTTTCCATTAGCAGCTGCGATTTAGAAGGCGGTTTCGGTTTTGGAGGCCTTACTGGTACTGGCGCATTCTGTAGCTCCCGTACTGACAGCTAAAATTGGCCATATGTTTCACTAAATTATTTATTCACTTACTTGGAAAATATGCAAACAGAACAAAATTTTTAAGTCTACTATGAAGTTTTCCATTTCTGAAACTGAAACTTACCGGTCTTGGTTTTTTTGGCCTGTCTTTTTTCTCTTCTTTTCCTACACTTTCCGGCTTTTCTGTTGTTATGCCTTTAAGTTGTGAATGTTCTTTCGGCTCTGTTTCTTTGTTAATCATAAAACTACAATTTAACTGTTTATAACAGTTCGATTCCCGTTCCGCTGCTTCCGTATTTCTTGTCTATAAGAAATAAGCAAAATAATTAAAAGTCTAAACTTGAAAACTTCTGCAAATGTTAAATCAATTAATCATACTCGCAGGACCAACTGAATTCATGAACTAAAGATTTGAAAGCAATGACGTAGCATGCGGAAACAGGAGGTATGGATTTTATCGCCGTAACTGCCGTACTTTTGGGAAAGTATTTTTATGCAAACTTACACGTGTTGTAGGTGATACTTCCTGTTCAGGAGGAAATCCGAGAAGTGGTGATTTCCGTTGCTGTTCCAACGGATCAAGAGTAAGCGGATGAACGCCGACGTTGACATCATCCGATATTGTAGAATCAATGCTCATGCTAGATGGTACTCTATCAACAGGTGATAATCCAGTGGGTACTTGTTGAGAAAAGTCCGATTCATACGGTAGTATGTCGGAATGAATCAGCTGTGTTATCGGTAAACTGGCTGCAAGCTCAGTAGGCACATCCGTCCTGCCTTGATATGCATGGTAGTTATTCCCATAATTATCCAGCATGTAAGCCTGGTGTTGTTGGTACTGTTGGAAATCATTACTAGGAGCATACTCCACTAGCGGAGTGGATAAGTTGTCATCCACGATCGGAAGACGATCGACTCCGATACGAGATTCTTCGAGGACTAGGCTAGTGTTCACTGCAAAAATAAAATTATATATATATATATATATATATATATATATATATATATATATATATATATATATATATATATATATATATATATATAT